ATCACTTTTAGTGTATCACCTCATGTATCAACATATCATTGGTGTAATAAGTCTCAGCACCCATATCTATCTCCAATATAGGTGCTAATACATATGGTGGTATACTAAAAATAATATAAAAAGGTGGTAAATGTAGCATTACTCTATAATAAGTTAGGAATTTTTTCACAAATGACATGTGAAAACCAAACTCACATGGGAGAACTTTGGTGACATTTTGATTAATATGCACACTTCGACTCAAATCCTCATTTTAGGATTAAATACCACTACTCTTGATTTAATTTGGCTTTAGGCTTGGGAGCGAGGAAATTTCTTGGTCCAACAATTTTGATTATCTATGGAATTACTTGAAAATTTAGTTGTTTTTATTTTTGTCACTGTATGGCATTCCAATGATGGACCTAAGTATTGCAGCTAGTTAAATAGAGGCATCTATACTAAGCAAGTAGTGTGATTTAGGATTGAATCATCTTTTCATTTTGATTCTTTTCAATAATTGCAAAATATGTATCAATTACTTTCATTCAAATTTCTTCTTTAATAGCTTATTTTGAATTTTATGGTTCACTAGCGAGAGTGACTACGTGATAGGACTCGTATATCACCATTAAGGAATTACCTTTCTTAGTCAACACAACAAGGTTTTGGCAATTGTTATATTGTTTACCATAATATTAATTCCATTAGTAAAGATAATTCACTCATAGTAGCATCCAATGGTATAGTTTCTTTTTTCTTTTTTTTTTCGATAACTTACTCAACAATAAAAAAGTAATGCTAATAAAATAATATCATAATGAAAAAATAACACCACCTATGATGATTTTCCAAAAATGCCATAAAGGTGAATCATTTGGCAACATTTTCTTAAAAATAGACTATAAATGGAGCATGACACTTTTGAAACACCGTATACCTAACACGGAGGTTGCATAATCATTGTTCATTATAAATGTTGCTATAACTTCTACTCCTGTTTTATGGCTTGTTGACTAATTTATGGAATGCTCCTAAATGTCAAATTTTCTATAGTGTCAAACTATTATAGTTTGTTAATAGTTTTCAATTGACAAAAATATAACAACTTGTTTTGTCATTAATTCGCCATAAAAACAAAGCTTTCTTAATTTTTATTGTTGAAAGTAAAGTAATGATTTATTTTACTTCTTTGATTAAAATATTGGATATTATATTAGCGAAAGTGAAACCAAATCATTAAAGCGTTATTATCTGTTGGTTACTGTTACTGTTGAAGGAAAATATGTCCTTTGTTTCCTTTTTAAAACAAAATTGTGATTTTTCGCTAGTGTGTTCAATATCAAGTTCTCTCTCTCTCTCTCTCTCATGAGCACAAACACACATTCCTTCCATAGGAAGGTTTGCACCTAGCATCATTTGTAAAGCTACTATTGTCATCGTAGGAAAAACTCTCTTTTTCTCTGTTACATTCTTACCCCAAACCCTCTTCTTTTACTTCAACTTATATAGAGTTACAAGTTGGGAGGCATCGGGCTTCGCATGATAGCCCATGCCTATGGTTTAAGATCCTTAATATTTGATCACTAATTATTGATGTTTTCCTATAGATGCAAACATCTCATATTTGCAAATATTAGACCAGCTTAAACATCTCTTATAAATGAATTGATTTTTTCAACATTTCATTCTAAAAAATAATTAATCAAAACCAAATTCTCACAATTTTTTCCAAGAAAGATTGTATTAAAATAAAGAAAAACAACCAAGAGAAAGAGGAGAAACATAATATAAGTTGAATGAGAGAAGACTTAGAAAGCATTAGCAACACTTGCACGAAATGCATAGCTGAAATTAGAAGTAGTGCACTTGAAGAAAAAGCATTCTAATGTATAAGTTTCAAATTTCGAACCCTGCAAGTGTTATGGATAAAACCATTAATAGAAATTGAAAAGATTGGCTATGGACAAAATCATTAAGTTGAGATCAAGTGGTGACAAACCAAGTGGTGGAAAGTGTTTTTCAAAAAATGAAAAGAGAACATAGAGAATAATAGTAACTTGGTTTGAAATTTTCTTTGTTTTGTTTTCCGGGAAAAATAAAAAATAAAAAAATAAATGAAAGTAAAAGCACTAACCTTTTGATGGTTTGTGTATCTGGTGTTCCATGTTGTAGTAAGATGCTTCGTATTGCCAAGCTTTGAATGTATATAAAATCTGTGACAATTTTAACAAGATGGGGTTTGAAAGCTGCTAATGAATCATAAATGAATATGAATGAATACACGTGTAGAATTCATATAGAGCGATTCACCTGATATAAATCTTTCAAAGTGAATAGCAGCAAAGTGAATATATTTTTTGCCAAAAATTAAGAACTTGACACATAGAAACATAAACTTATAGTTAAAATATTTACATAAAGTTAGCAGCTTGTTTACAGACCATAAGTTTAAATATGTTTGGTTATGGATTGACTCCATAGAATATGTACAAACAAAAAGTTAGGTACATCCTTAAAAGGAGATCAAGTCTATGCAAAAAGAGATCAGGTGTAAGCAAAAAGGAAGTGGTGGTAAAGTAGATCAAGCATTCTTTGCATCAGGTGGTGCAATTAGGCCATCAGTGGCTGAGGGTGTGGCTTCTTCAGTAATATTTGAAGGCTTCAAAATGTTTCCAATTGAAGCTGATGCAGGTGCAAATAGCTCTTTGCATGCTCTTTTTGCAAGTGGAGATGAGACTAAATCTAGAGCTTTTTCATGGAATTCAAGTGTATTGATGGCACATTCTTTGTGTATTGCATTGACAGTGAAATTGCATTGCATAGTACTAGAGATTTTGAATGGGTATGCATGAAGATGGATGAAGTAGTCATCAGTGTTGTATAGGTTTCCTAATGCATATATATAATTATTATTAGGTATTTTTGTTTTATATGTATAAAGTACAATATAGTTAGTATGAGACTTACAAGGTTTGTATTGTGCATCCAATCTTTGGCAATGATTAAGAAAAGATTATCAACTTAAACATCAAAAATTGTTGCATCTATTGTTCTAGTTGTATCAGTGAGTTCTATGCCAAACTTACATCTAGAATGATGCATAAAGACAATCAATTAATTGGTAAAAGATATAAAATAATTTAAAAAGTTTCCAATAATGTTTATAGGAGTATATAATTTACGGAGGTTCTGGTTGGACCTTTTGGTTACAAAAATTGCATTGAACTAAATCAATGGAAGTTGCGTCTGTTGCTCTCTTGCATTTAGAGAAACTCATGTACCACAATTTTTGTTGAAAATTTGGAACATTTGCCCAACCACGTATCCAATAGTAAGTAGTCTGTTTGAAGATATGAATATAAGAAAAAAAGAGCAATAGAATAACTGTGAATTAGGATTTCTAGCATAAAATAGATATGAGAGATTAAGATATATAAATATATATTTAATGCATATTTGAAATGATGTGCACTTGAAAGGGGCAAAGTGAGGAGACAAAAGAAAATGACAAATGAAAATGAAAAACAAAGAAATTATCAAACTAAATTAAGTCAATTAAAGGAACGTTAGTTACGTCAGTGACAAACTTGGGCCGTTCATTGATCTTCATGATGTTTCTTGGTTTTGGTGGAGTTCATTGTGCTCGTGAAATTGGTTGTAAGTTGTTAAATGGAATTGCATTTATGATATTAGCATGATTAATGCACCTATAGAAATTTATAAAAAAAAAAATCATAAAAAAAAAGAAAAGAAAAAAAGATGGGCATTATTATAAGAATCAACTCTAAATATGTTTAATGAGAGAGAATGTGATTACCAAGTCTGCAATTTTAGGGCTTCTGGTATAGGGGGATCAAATATGAATGAGCTTGATGATTTTGTGGATAATGTCAAGCCTGTATAGAAAATAAATTTGTGATACAGGTTAGACTTTAGTTTTTGAATGTAGTTAATATATATAGCGGGAAGAGTATTTCTTACCATTGTATGATGTAACTTTTAGTCTCATCCCAATTACTATTGGAAATGGAGCTGATTTTGTTGCAAAAGTTGCACCTTCACATGTGCTGAGTTGATCCCATAGTGTAAGGATTGTTAGCCTCAAGCTGCATAAAATAATGTTTACTTGAGTATTCTAGTTATTTAAGTTTTCTATAAAAGAATGAACTTACTGTTTGTCAATTAGAATGACATCCATTAGGGTTGTTTCTTTGCTTGAAGTTTTCTTCCTTGGTGGTGATACATGTAGTACTGTAGTAAGCACATCTGAAATCATAAATACCAAAGCATAAGTATATAATGTTTGCTATGCTTTTAAATACTTATGTTTTTTTTTTTTTTTTTTTGGCTTCCTTGGCATCTTCTAAATCATTCAAAGGAGTGAAGTTGAATGAAAGGTTGTGCAAAGTTAGTTTATCATCCTCAATTTCCTCAATAGGAGTTCGACCATGTAGATTCCATTGGTACTCATTGGGAATGATACGGTGCTCTTCTACAACATGTCTGACTGTGGCAATTGATATTGAATATGTTCCAAAGATTTGCAGTGTGTTCTTTAAAACTTCAATATCATTTCCATAAATTGTGGCCCGTATTTTGGTTTCCTGTGAATGTTTTCATTTTGTTGGTTAACATGGAAGTTATAAACTGATAACATATGAAATGAATAAATTGATAACATCTAAAAGGAATAAGTGCATAAGACAGTTGAAAGAGATCTATTGTGTTAAGTATACCTCTGAATCAGTGAGAACCAATCTTTGGTATGGTCCTCCAGTTGCAATGCTGATTTTTGGATGTGCTTTTTCAATCACCACGATGTTGCATATCCATCGTCTTGTAGTTTGATCAATTTCCTCGATTTTTTTGAGCTGATTAGTCATGCTTGCTTTGCATAAGGATAAAAATTTATTTAGGAATAAGAAAATTATAAAAGATTGGTTTATAATTTAGAACAACAAAGAAATTAGGTAGTTAAAGTGTGTAGTGGATATGTAGTGCAAATGGTGCTTACAAAATCATGTGCATTGTGCCAAAGATAAGAGTTCATGAAAAACAATATTTGTTGTGGAATTAGTTTCATCACTATCAGAATCTTGTGGTTCAATTAGGATTCGAAGTTTAGCTAAAGTTGTAGCACGAGACAAAACAACATATAGTTGACCATGAGAGAAAACTGGTTGCGACAAATATATACCTACAGTTTCCAAAGTTTGACCTTGTGATTTGTTAATTATCACTGAAAGACAAAGTCTTATTGGAAATTGACGCCTAGTAAACTGAATAGGATACATATTTCGATTTGAAGGTTGTAAAGGGATTCGAGGCAAGAAAATAGTATTTCCCTTATGATCACCAACAGCAATTTCAGCAAAAATGAAATGTCTTTCAAATTTACGACAGATGAGTCTTGTTCCAATACATAATCCTTTTGAGGGATCTATGTTTCTCAACATTAGAATTGGGCAGTTTAGTTTTAACAAAAGTTTACGAGGAGGCAAGCCAATTGGATTGAGAGAATTTAAGAAATCTTCATATTGACCTTGTTGGCTTGTTTCAATTGTTTCATCAATACTCATATATTGTTCTTGAGTACCAGGAAATCTTTTAATGAGCAATTGGTTGATGTGATCAACGCTTTCGTTTTTGGGAGTTAAGATAGCATTGTTCATCATTGAAAGAGGATCATTAGAATATTTTGTAAAATCTAGGAACACAAAGTCTATCAATTGTTCAAGGGAATTTGAACTTGATAAGGAAGGAAGAAACATTGGTGGAGGAATTTTGATTTTTCCATTAGAGGTTTGTGGTTTTGTTCCGTTTCCTACTCGAAGTAGATATTCGTAAAATTGTGGATCTTATTTTGCTCTCATATTTTCCTTTAGCTTTAGCTTTTCCAAAGAACTCCAAATATGAGAACGCACGAGACCGGCATCGATGCATTCATTTATAGTACCCTTAGGAACAACTAAAAAAACTTGTCGGAAGTCACCACCAAATACCATAACCTTTCCTCCAAATAAAAGGTTAGAATCAGTTATATCACGTAGCATTTCATCAAGCGCTTCAATGGCTTGGCGCTTTGCCATGGAGGATTCATCCCAAATTATAAGTCTAGGAGCTTTTAAAAGTTGTGCTAGACCACTTTGCTTGGTAACATTACAAGAAAATTTGCCTTCAGTATCTATTGGTATCTTGAATCAAGAATGTGCAGCTCGACTATTAGGTAAAATTAAAGTTGCAACACCTGATGTTGTTGTTGCAAGAGCAATCATTTTATGACTTCTAATTGTTGCTAAGATTGTGCAATAAAGGAAAGTCCTTCCTGTACCTCCAGGTCCATCAATGAAGAAGTAACTTGGAGTGCCTGATAGAACAACTTCAACAATTTTTGAATATGTCATTGCTTGTTTTTTGTTTAGTAATGATACACATGACAAGTCATAATCAGACACTAATATATTCATTTCATCTTGTGTTTCTTTATAAAGTGTGCTACGTTGGTTCACTAATAGCAACAAGTCAACAAGATTAAATTGGCCTAAGTTTTTACCCATAGGCTCAAGTATAGAATTTATACTTTGCAAGACTTGGTAACGAATACCCTCCATTGAGATTGCTAGATTTCTTGAAAAGTCTTCTGGAAAATATTTTTCAAACTTTGTAAAGAGTGCCTTTGGATTATGTGGATTACAATAGACAAGTATTGTTGTAAATAATTGTCTCAAAGAAGAAGGCATTTGGAAATTGTTTGTCTCTTTCAGGCACTTTTCATTAGTTTCATCATCTTCTAGCAATCCATGTTGAAGAGATGCTTCTCTAAAAGTCACATAAGTGGTTCCATTAGCAGTTCTTAGACTTTGAAATGATGTTGGTGATTTGATATGATTTAGCAATACTCGCAAATAATAACGCTCGCCTTCAGTTGGATTTGTTGTGGCTATTCTTCCAATGACCTCTCTGTGTTGCCTTTGAAACCACATTCTGTATTTAGAATACTAGACAAATGCTTCAGGGAAATCTTTGTACAAAAATTTTCCAGCTTTTGCTTTGTTGTTTGATCTATTTATTGCAAAAAATTCCGTCAAAGTGGTTCTTAAAAAGAACTCATTGCTAGCTATGGACTTTAAGCTAGCATTATTGTTGAATCCAATTGTTTGGCATCCTTCAAGATGTAATTATAAACTAATGACTACAGGATTGACCTCATTCAAAGAGAAACGATAAATTCTCCACATCGCTTCCGGAGGAGAGATTCATCTTGCTGATTGAAACTGTGATATTTCATCAATATTTTCAATAGCATTGGCTCCAATAATGTTGAATGCTACCTTGTCATGACCTTTGTAAATATACTTGAACAAGTATTTTACAGCTTTAATGGTTGAGCAAATTTCAACATTAATATGACAATCAAATTTCACAAGTAGATATGGATGTGTCCTCAAACATGTAGCCTCGAACCAATAGTGGTTCACCATTGTTTTGTCTTCTATAAACAGGATAACCATCAGCAACCATGGTAGTTGCTGAATTAACATTTTTTGGATAATGATTTTTACATAATCATTTTTCATACAAACATTGTTTGCATTTAATGAACCACATGGTCCATACATCATGTGCTTGACAATTGCAAAATATAGATAAGGATATTTCTGCTTGTCCGGTAATTCAGTGGATATTACGGCATCAAAATTTTCAACAGAATTTAGTTTGTATCCTTGTTGCAAAATGAAGAGCATATGAACATGAGGAAGGCCTCGTTTTTGAAAATCAACAACATAAGTAAAGGCTGCAACTGGTCCAAAAAGTTTGTTCTTTATGACTTCAATTTTCAAATGTTCAAATTTGCTTCTAAAGATGTGAACGAGTAAATCAGGTCTGTTGTGTGCTTCCTCATGTGGGAGTAGTTCAGCTTTAATTTTAGGCCAAGTTGGATTACAAGTCATAGTTAAGAATATATCTGGTTTACCAAAACGTTGAAGTAATGTCATTGCATCGATGTAGCATTTTCAAAGATTCCTAGGACCACTAATGAATGAACTTGGTAAGATTACTTTTCGCCCAATTTAAGAAGCTTTGGATTCTCCATGTTCATCACTATCAACAATTCCTTGGTATAATTCCATCCTTATTTGGTGTTGCCTTGATCGAAAATAATCAAGCCACGATGTTTCAAGCTTTACATACATATCAACAACAAATTATTGCATAAGTCGACCTAATTGAAGACGCATTGATTGATGATTGTCTCTTATCTGAAGCTTGTATGCGTAAAACTCCCTAGCTGAAACCATCACTTGTTTGATTGAATTTTCTTTAAAGATTGAAACAATGTTCAAAATTTTCAAACATTGCTTGGAACAATATAAACATAGGTTTTTTTTTTTTTTGGCCTATAATTACCTTTAGTCTTATTGTCAAACAAATCATCTGCATTGGTAGCATCTTGAGGCGAAATTGATGATTGAGCTCTAGTGGTGGCATGTGCATTTTTTTTTTTCATAATTCCTTGACGCCATCCAGGCTCTCCAAATGGAAATAACAATAGGGATTGTAAGGGATCATAACAAACATAGTAATATCGAATTCTTTGACTTTGTCCTTCATGTTTGTGAACAAGTATATCACACTCTCTATAATCTGGATTGTCATATTTTCATGCCAAATTGCAGCCACTTGGGAAGTATTTGGGGCATTGTAAGTTCGAGGATCTAAGCATGGATCAGCTCGAATGATTATACGATGGGTATCTAGATTATATATCTCTTAAACTTCGAAAGAAAAGTGAGTAAGGATTTGATGCTAAGATATCAATCAGAAGAAAAACAATTATAGGATCTAACATGTTAGAATTTTGCAATCTTTTTGTACTTCATGTTCAGTGTCAAAAAAATAGAGTTGCAAATATGAAGGTTTATCATTTGAAGGATAAAGATGATTGATTGTAGCACACGCCCGCGGAGGGGGACCTCGCTACTACAGTTCGGACTCGCGATTTTCTGTCACGGTTCTTCATCTGAACCAAAGAGTCCAAATCTGGCAAATCGTTTTGAGAAACAGATTTTTGAAAAAAGTAATGCCAAACATGGACTGCTTTGCCAGATACAGAGTCGCCACCTAAATATTTTTAAATGGGAAAATTTAGGAAACCCTGACTCGGTGCCGAAGGCCACATGTCCGTCATCACTGGAGTTGTCTCGGCTCGGGAGCTTGGGTACGATCGGGGAAGGTCAGCTATGAGCACCCCCTTTTGCCCGGTCCGAAGACCGGCCTCTACTAACCATGATATCCGATTTTGAAAACGTTATGTGTTCTTATTCCATTTATTAGCCTAGAATTACTATGTTATGCGCGCAGCAAACAAGTATAGACTAGATTGCCTAATTTGGAAAGAAACATTGCATATCCGTTTGTTTCGAAAATGCTTTGGAATTTGCTACTCGCAAGTAGGCTAAAACACGGATTTCAATGAGTTTTTCCAACTCAAACAATCCAACCTTCACCCACAGGCATCAAAACAGTTTATCACATAAAGCCATTTAGCCGCATGGCAAGCATACTGTCATGTTAACATTCACACGCATGCGAGATGCTAAAGCAAAAATACTTACATCGTACTCCGTGCCAAAAACAGTAAACTGTTAGAAAACATGCGTGTCCTAGTTCATGTTAAATTGCCTAATGCAACACATTAGGATGCAATTAGATAGGCTCGCTAAACCTCAGAGCATGGCATGTGAAATGCGGTCAACTACCACATATTCAATTTGTGAATTGAAGTATCGATGCAGTTAGCGTGATGTACCGAGCCTGATGCATGTAATACAAATGCATGGATGCATGCATGCATAGCATAAGGTATGCTAACTTAAATGTGCCCTAATCTACCATCATAAGCGGGTAAATAAAAGGGAAGAAAGGCGTGAGGTTGGAAGACATACATACACTCACGCACCCTTATTACAGATTTGCCCTCACTCGGAGGGACCAAATAAATATTACAAATTAATTACTACGCAAGCTAATTAATAATTACAAATTGCCTAATCAACTAAGCAAATTAACTAAAACTAAGAAAACAGGAAAAATGCCTCGGGAAACACGCCCCCATGCATAGGCTGCCTCTGTTTTCCTTCCTTCACTCCTCTGGAGGCTGTCAAAACCTCAGGACTGCATCCCTGGACACTGGGGAGTGCCACCGGCTGAGTGGAATTACCACCGGCAGTGGTGTGTGGCCATCGGCACAAAATGACGCTGTCGGCAGAGAAATTGTTGCCGATCGGCACCTTACACTGCCGGTCGGCAGAGTGTTCCTGCAGAATCTGCAAATGACAGCAACAGAGGGCAAGGCAAAGCATGGTAGCACAATTCAAGGCATATATGCACCAACCATGTCCCTTATCATGATAATGACTCAAAGGGGCATGTGCCTCGATTCTCGGACCACCAATCACGCATTTCCATGCATGATGGCCCAAAGAACCAAGTATGCAACTTTGATTTCAAATGCATGCAAACCAAATCAAATCAAACAAGGCCCAATTCCTATCACTAAGTCAAGGAACAAGGCATGCATGCAAGATGCAATGCAACCTAAGCATGCAAGCTAAGGATGCAACATGGCATGGCGACAAACCTATGCAAGCATACAAGCAAACATGAAGCAATGCTAACCAATAAAAAGGTGCTCTTAAACATGATTTGGGCAGCTCTAATAGGGCCCAAAACAGTAGCCAAAATGCTATAATGAGGGACCAAATACACATGCACACATACTCATGTTGAAAGGCCAACACTTAGGCACAAATTGAACAACCCTCAAGGACACTTGAAAGGGGCAATCATGGACAAAATATCATGCAACATAAGCATTGAAATCATGCTAAAACATGGTGCCAAACCAAGCAATAAATCAAGCCAAGCATGCAACAAATGGCCCAAATGCTCAAAGCAAACCAATAGAGTATTGAACTACACTTAGCAAGACCAAACATGACATGAACTTATTGACAAAAAACAGAGTTTTGGGACATTAATACAAGGCCTAAGGACCACTTAGATGGCATCCAAATGACTAAAAAAC